TTGTGAAATGTTCATTTTATGTACACATGATAAAAATCTTATAACTATATTCTTGAAAAAAAATTAATATTTAATTGATATGAGTTATACTTACAAAAATAGAAATATTTTCTATGGAGAAGCAATTGAAAGATAACATTAAAAATAACTAAATACTTCACATTATATAAAATTATTTCAAAATGTAACTGAAAAAAACATGTTTTTATTTGATATATATCTAATAATACAATTAATTATGGTTACAAATAATCTATAATGTATTGTATAAGGTAAAGGCACCGGTAATTGATCTGGTATCAGTAGTTGACCGTTTATCAGGAAAACGTGAAAAATAAGGTTTTTAAAAGTAATAATCTTTCAATAAAGGCGCAATAGATATGCTGCAGCATCTACCAACCCAACTCCAAAACAATTTTACTTGAATTAAATTATTTATATTAAAACTAACGATTTATTTTATTGACATTGGTTATATGCCTTCATATTCTAATTTCCTTAACATTGTCAGTAAGAAACAGTGTATAATTCATAGTAAAAAATTCCTAAGCTTTTAACTTGTTATGACTGAATCTTTCATTGCTTAAATTATTATAGTTTTATATTTAATAAATGTCATGTTTTTTTATCTGAACCTCAAAGAACATTCTTGATAGTAAGATCAACTATTGAATCTTACCATTCTTATTATTTCTACAAATTGACAGGTGAAGTCAGTTACTGACATAAATTATTCAAATTTATTAACTAATTACAATATATTCATTTTACATATAATTATGTCAGAAGTAAAGAACCGAACTTTCAATTTTGAAGTATAATGCATTTTAGTAGACGACCACATGGTCGACTATTGATTAAAACTACTATTTAACTATGTAGTTAAATGAATACGTAGGTAATACTATTAAAATTAACAAAATATTAAAGTGCATTTACCTAGGCATTTTCAATTATGTAGAAAGTGAAAACAATGAAGGGTCTAGCGAAGGAAATGAATTGTTGAACAACAATAAATGTCTACCTATTAAAAGGATTGAAAATGAATACATAATATTTTTATATAAAGGTGAATACTTTCTTGGGAAAATATTAGAATATAGTTTCTCATATTAATGAGCCTACCAGATCAAAACTCAAAACATTTACTCTGTTTCTAAATTAGATTGTATATGGAATTAACTTCTTTTTAATTGTATTTGTCCTTTTACTTGTAATTTGTCATAACTGTCGTAAATAAACGCTCTAAAGTAATCACTTTTAGCGTTGTTGATTTTATCATAAGTGGTCAACTATTAACTATCATATGGACAATTACTAGTTTTCTCGTTTTCAAGGATGGTCAACTTTTTACGCAAGTATTGAGTTTTAAAATATGTCTATAAAATTTGGATAATACATCTATTTCAAAAAGTTTGCTTGGTTACATAATGTAAGAAGTTCAGACAGCATTTTTACGCATAGAGTCTCTGTACTTAATAAAAGAGCAAGCATTTACTATTATTCAGGCAGACAATTTTTCTTAATGGGTCAAGTACTGGTACTTTGCCTTAAATGAGGTTAATTAGATAAGTACGCAAGGTGTTCTCATATTGGTAAAGATATGTTTTTGTTGGATAGAGTTTAGAAATAAAATAACTGTTACTGAATTGAACAAAATTTTGAAAGTTATACAAAATTTCTATTTTATAATACACAATATTTTATTAAATTACAGGAGAGACTGCAAAAGTATATATAGTAAAATAGTTTAAATCAAATTATTAAAGTTTTAAAGTATGTATTAAAGAGGATAAGTGGACTTACATTACCTCATATAGTTTAAAAGAATTAAGCAGTTATTAAAAAAATACAAATGTCTGTATTAACAGACACAAAACCATCATCCATGCTGCAAACGGCATCGTCACTTTCAATGGAAACAAGTACAGAAGTTACAGTAAGCTACAAAACAATTTAAAATATTTATGATATATAGTATTATGTTTTTTTTAATGACATAATACATTTCATCTTTTCATTATTCATATAAGCCTATATTAATTTTATTTACAAACTTAGGTTTTTGAAACATTCTACGTATAAACTTGAAAGTAAACGCCTTAGTTTCTCTAAACAAAAATAATTCTAGATTAAATTAAGTACTGAAAAAATAGCATTTTATAAACTTGGTCACGATTAACAAAGAAAATATAATATTACAGTATGTAATAGACAATATTTAATTATATATTTCAGAAGAAACAAGATAAGATTATTGGAAATGATGGTATTTCAAATGCACAGAGGGTATGGACAAGTTTGGTGTCTGGTGCTATTGCAGGTGCATTAGCAAAGACAACAATTGCACCCTTGGATCGCACAAAAATTAATTTCCAAATTTCACAGCAACCATATTCTGCGAGTGCAGCAATTAAATTCTTAATAAAAACACTTAAAACGGATGGTTTACTTAGCTTATGGCGTGGAAATAGTGCAACCATGGTTAGAATTATTCCATATTCTGCTGTTCAATTTACAGCTCACGAACAATGGAAAAGAATTCTAGGAGTAAATGGATCAGAAAGGTAAGAAAGTGTAAAATTAAAAATTAGATGAAAATAACGTAAAACCAAACAAAGTCATAAATGAAATCACTGTGATTACTAATGATTGCTTCAATTGATATGAAGCATCCACATTTTTAATTATGCATTCAACAATTTTTTAAGTGAATAATAAATAAAGTGTTTGAGATATAATACGTTTTTACTTTTTACTTTGTCTTCATTAAATGTCTATTATTTTTCTGTTATCATCTACGTATAATGACTACATCTGGCAATGTAATTATAATTGTACACTTTACCAAATATTTGTATATGTATAGAGAAAAACCAGGACTGAATTTCCTTGCTGGTGCATTGGCTGGGATAACATCTCAAGGTGCAACGTACCCTCTGGATTTAATGAGGGCACGAATGGCTGTCACGCAAAAAGCTGAATACAAAACCCTACGTCAAGTGTTTGTACGCATTTATATGGAAGAAGGAATACTGGCGTATTACCGTGGATTCACAGCAACGTTGCTTGGTGTCATTCCTTATGCTGGCTGCAGCTTCTTCACCTATGATCTTCTGAGGCACTTGCTGACTGGTGAGTCGGTTCTTTCACAAACTCGTTTGACGCCGTGACAGTGCTTATACGTAAAGAAAAAATCGTGATTTATACGAACGAGAGTGGCTCGTGTATGACCGTAAAGCAGGGTACCCATGGGGAACGTCGGGGCTGTTTCCCGATATTGGGACAGTACTTACTTTAATAGCGACGCTTGTCGAGACAAGTCCGATGACGGCGTTTTACAAGTGCGTGCTTCATGTTCGATGATGGCTACGTGTCGATGAACAGTGTACACGGTGGCTATTCCTGGGTTCTCGACATCACTGATTTGCGGTGGAATTGCCGGAATGGTTGCTCAGACTAGCAGCTATCCTTTGGACATCATTCGGAGAAGAATGCAAACTTCAGCAGTCAAGGGAAAGCATTACCACACAATTAGTTCGACCATAAGAAAAATCTATAGGTGAGTTTAAAATACGTATTATTTATTTAGACTCTTCTAGTATAATAGTTCTTTAATTTTATTCTGAGAAAAATTATGTACACCTGACCTTTGATTTACGCGATTTTGCTTCGCATAAATTGAGGTGTACATAATAACTGTATTAATGTTTACAGTAGTGATTATTTAAAATTTAATGAAATACTTGAAAACAATAACTTATATTTTTTATGAAAAATTATAAAATATGATAGCTATAATATTTATAAAAATGGAACTTCATTGATATTTAAATGTATTGAATAAGAACATGAAAGTTGCAGAAGTAGATATACACTTTTTCTATATCAAAGTTACTCGTTGTAATGGAAAGAAAATATATTTTACAAGTTATTTTGTTATGTTTTCAGAGAAGAAGGTCTGATGGCTTTCTATAAGGGTTTGAGCATGAATTGGGTGAAAGGTCCAATTGCAGTAGGAATTAGTTTTGCAACGCATGATACCATTCGCGATACACTAAGGAAAATTATTGCTAGTCCAAGCGACTTATCGAATTAATACTTTGCTACATGCAGTAGCAGAAATTAAAAAAAAACAGTTAATTAATCATTAAAATAGGTTATCAAAAATAGCTAAAAAGTGAATTGCTTTCATCATGTGAAAAGTCATTTAAAATATAAATATGCATACACTCTAATACAGGCAAAAAACAAACTGTCATACATAAGGTTGTATCATAAATAATCTTATGAGATTGTACTATTTTCAAAGTACAACTCTGGAAAGGCAGGGAGTCACTAGTACAAATTGTTACTGTACATATTGTTATTTGAAATGTTATAAAAACTGTTGAACAACTAAAAATGCATGTCAAGTAGTTATGTATTTAAATAACTGAAAACGTATTATGTAAATGTTTATTTTAAACTATTTACTTATATTTGAAATATTATTTGAATTAGATTGATAAGTTTGTGCCAGAATATTATAAGTATTTTTTAAATTATGTAATCTCCAAAATAATTTCAAGAAAATTAACACAAAATTGTATATTTTTTTCTTTCAAGTAATGGCGCACTTTATTTTTTGTATATTTTATCATGTATGTTCAAATAATTGTAACGATTGATTTTTCTATAAAAATATTAAACTCTATATAATGTAGATAGCTGAATTCTTTGAAAACAAATGATTCTGACAATATAATGTGCAATATTAAGGTTTAGCACAATTATTTATAAGGAGGCAAACAGTTTCTACCACTTTTCACAATATCTTAATTTCTGCCATCATCTGTAGTAATTTTATATTTTTACGATGATCCGTATTATTTTAATCTTGTACATGCTCAAAATATTAATTTTAAATTTTAGTATACATTAAAAAACATGTTATCGTTTAATCGATTCCGATTTTGTCACTTAATAAAGACGTGAATTTAAGAAATGTATTTTTTAGTAAAGGTTTCTTATGTATGCATTTCTTACTTAAATGTACTTACATAAACTATCTAATATATTTGTAAAAGATATTGTCAAATTGTTACATTATAACATGAATTTTTACTAAAATATATATTAATAGAAATAAAATATCTGTATTCGCTTAATTTAACTATTGTACTAGTAACTAACTTTGTTATTTATTACACACAGGAAATGACTAATTAGTAAACTATCAGACTTTTCCTGTTTCGTTTAAAGATATCTGGCCATAATTGTAGAAATACCAAAATTTTTATAATATTATTTATAATATTTTTTCTTTGTCACAATTTTTTACTACAATGCTGCAAAAACGGTATTCTAATTATAGTACATATATATATCTATAATATATATATAGTAGGGCATTCCTTGCCATAAATTCACATAAGAATTTTATGTTATTATAAATTTTATAAATCAGTATTTAGTTGTTTCAAAATGAAAATTAACAAAAAAAAGTCATACCCATAACAAATTACTTACTTATTGGTAAGTGGCATAAAAGCTTATGGTATAGCAGTTCTGTTAATGAATATGTAACAAATGACAAAATCTAAAAGCTATGTACCATTTATTTTTTATCTGATTGTAAATAAAATATAACTTTAATGGCAAATAAAAAGTGATAAATTAATTAAAAGTAATTTTGCTTAAATAAAATATTTATTTATCAGTGGTAATTAAAATTTTATATTTATTTATAATGTATGACAGGTTATTGAGGTAAAAGTGTACAGCGTGTATAAAAATGACTTGTAAAGAGCACTTTTTTGTGATTCTACACCTCTGGATCAGTGCAGATTTGATAGAAAAAGTCTGTGCAGTATTGACCTTGACCTTGAAATTCAAGATCAAATTTTTTGTTATTGCAATGCATTCTATTCATTACGATTCATTCATTGCATTACTCTATTCATAACTTTTTCTTGAAAAAGGTTAAAGTCCAATAAATTCTAGAAATCAATTTTGCACAGATTTTTTTTTATCAAATCTTCACTGATTCGGAGGTGAACAATCATGCTACAATGTCCTTTACACATCATTTTTATACACCCTGTACTTTATCCAAAGTTTGTGGATATTTAACATGACATTTATGAAAAAAAATCTATAACGAATTTAAAGTATAAGCATAATTGAATTTTTTAAGATTTTCAATTTGTAACTAAAATTTTTCATTAATTTCAATTTTGAATATAATTAAAAGCCAAAATTATTAAGAGTTTTAATTCTGTGTTTGTAAATGAAATCTTTATTAAATATTAATTGAATATTATATATTATAAATAAACAATACTACGAAATTGTTTAGGAATAAAATAATAGCTTGCAGAATGTATTATAAATAATAGGATATGCTACAACTTAGTTCGCAAAAGATTGTTTAATTGGCTATTATATAAAAAAAAAGTATTTTATACAAGAAAAATATTTTATTAAGATTTGATTAGCCTAATAATTTTGAATAGGTTATTACTTATTTTGTATTGTTTTTATGATTAATAATTATTTGAGATATAAAAGTGTAAAATACAACGCAATTGGTATACAAGGTGTTCTGTGAAACATAGAACCAACTTCACTCGTGTATTCAGCAATTCATTTTAAACAAAAAATATATACATCATAGATTTGTTTTATTTCATTAGCAAAATCAGTTAAAAAAGATTTACGTAACACACTATCATGTGAAAATAGTAATGCATTTCAAATACAATAGGAAAAATCATTATATTGACAGTTGTCAATATATGAAGAATATACAATTTGAACTTTAACTGTAAATTTGATATACATTTAAAAAGTACAAATGAAAATAGAATAAATTAAATACATTCACCTCATTGCTTTGTTATAAGTATACTTCCTAAATTATTTTTAATATAATTGACTAACAAAACAAATCTAAAATGTATACGACACTCTTTATAAAGAATGACTTTCTAAACATAAGGGTTGAGTTACTTGAGAACCTCAAATTCCCTTATATATATATATTATAAATGAAGTAGCTTTCGTAAAAAGACTTTAACATTTAATTTTCACTGCTTTCATAAAGCAGATTATAATTGAAAAATGTTCAATCTATTTCTTTTATAAAAATGTATTTTACAATAATACAATATTATTTTGGTTTGGTTTCCTGGTCATTTACATATCTTATATAAATTTCAGTTTCATCTTTTCCACCTGGTGGAATTTCAGTTTCGTTCAAATATGACACTCCTATAGCAAGTACAGAACCATCATGACTAAAACTAAGCGCAGCGACACCAGCATTATATCTATGAAATTGACATAAGCGCTTTTTGTTAAAACCATCCCAAATATTCACATATCCATCTGAACCACCAGTTGCAAATGTATTGTATGTTGAGTGAAAACTAATAGCATTTACTGGATATATATGCTCCACATTATTTTCCTTTATCCTGTGACATTTAAATGCATATTTTTTTTTCTGTGCTTCTGGTGTAGTATCGAGATATTCAACTGCAACACGACCTTCTATACTGCTAAGAACATATCCCTGAAAATTATTGAAATATTGAAACGTCACTTTTATAATACCATTTTATTATGTTTTATAAAATCAAACTCACTTGTTCATTAGGAAAGCCTTTAATGCAACGTGTCTGATATTTCAAGCTGCTTTCACGTCTTTGAAACATACCAGCCATATTTCTTAGATCCCAAATACAAACTTTTCTTTTGGCTGTACCTACTACAAATTTATCTCCGCACACAGACAAAGCAAGAACAACATCTGGTTGTAAATAACTACCTACACAAGTGGGTGTTCTAGGATCCCAAAGTTTTACTGCTGCATCCCACCCACCAGTTAATATTGCATTTACTGCAGCACAATACTCAATTTTCCTAATCGGTTTATCGTGTTTTCCCATTACTGATTCTGTAAAGAAATGTATATCAGTAATGCTTTCTATCTAATAACGCTTATGAAGACAAAATGAAACATTAATTATTCATACCTGTATTACTATTGATATCATACATTTTTAATGTATTTCCCAAGCCACCACTATAAGCATGAACGGCATCCTATATAGAAATAAGTTTTGTTTATGACATTGTAAACGATTAAAAAATCAAATTGGATTAAAGACATAATTATATAATTTAATAGTAACATCAAGCATAAAATTAATAGAACTATAATACGAGTATGTATAGCACTACGTATGAATGTTTAAAAAAATACATATAATTTTGTTTCATTTCTTTAATTGTCATTTTTCTTACCACACAAAGCTTTAACTTACATTACTCTGTCTGTGTTATACATTTTTTCTTTTGCTCTTTTTCTGTTTCAAATAAACATAAGTGCAATAACTCATTTATTTCTACAATAAATGCATTGTTATATGGAAAACTATCAATTGAAAAGACTGATGAATTCGTGATTACCTGAAATGCAACGTCTAGAACCGCCAAATCATGATTATATTTTAATCTCATAGTATTAGCATGAATGTCATACAACCGCACTGTACTATCCCATGAAGAAACAAGAAGAAATTGCGTTGAATTTGGTCCAAATTCAACCGCTGAAACTGCATCGGTCGGAGGAGATTTTATTTTAAATTCTGTCCGAGACTCCATTCTTAAAAAGAAGAAAATGAAATCAAATTGATAACGATCATGCATACTAAATAATACATATAAACATAACCTGTTAACAGTAAAACAGTCACATACTTTGCGAGAGAATGTCGTCACTCTTAACGATGAAGCCAGAATATATTTATTCAAAGCAGTGGTACAAAATTATGTGAAGTTTAGATATCACTATATTGGATATAAATTGATTTAATTGAAACTTAAGTATCCAAAACAAGATAGAGACATTCACTCCTACATAAAACGTACGCGGCATCTGTAAGTACTCCAAATTTAACACAAAATGTAATGCTTATACAAAAAACTACAAATAAATAAAATTTTATCTATTATGCATAATTATTAAAAATATGTTGCTTTCATATAATTATATATTATATTTTGAATAAAAAATTTTGAAATGGCACAAATTTTTCAAAGAAATATCAGGGTATATTCAAATTGGAGGAAACATTAAAGACTCCATCTTTCTTCACGCCTGTACTATATCCGGAACACATGGTCATTTTCTAACCACGGTAGTGCGTTTTCGCAGTTGTATATTAATTGTTTGAAAATTGAATGGAATATAAAATAAACGAAGCATGGTAAGTTAGCACAACAATTAAACTATAGTATTCATTTTTAATCTGTTTCTTTCGATATTAAATACGTACAGATCTTTCAAGAAAATAATACATTAGCTGAATTGTAATGATAGCATAACAATTTACACAATTTTACAAATAGTTTTCATTAAATGAAACAATTATACCGCTTCCGTGTATTAATATTAATGGTTTCACGTTTTCAAATCCACTAACAATTACCGATAAATGTATAGTATGTACATAGATAAAAAATGTTTACCAAAGTGGTCATAAAAAACGTAGAAACCCTTGAATATGCTCAATGGGTTTCTACATTACAATATTCATTAAATATTATATCATTTAATCAACTTGTGTTACTTATTCTTATAATTTAGCTCTTTTTTATAAATCAATGAAATAGTAAATGTTAAAAATTTTATTAAATGTTTATGTAAAACTAAATGCATGAACTGTAAATTTTCATATCTTCAATAGACTACATAATTATTATTTAAATGTTTCAGTCGAAATTATTCGTTTTATTCGAACATGCTGCTGGCTATGCTGTCTTCTTGGTTAAAGAGTTTGAGGAGGTAGGGATGTTACTTCCACAGGTCGAAGCATCTGTTACAGATCTATCACGCTTTAAGTCAGTTGTGAAACTTATTGGGTTCTCACCTTTTAAAACTGCTTTGGCAGCTCTAGAAAATATAAATAGCATTTCTGAAGGAATTGTTCCAGAAGATTTATTGTTATTCTTGGATTCATGTATACCGAAATCTGGAAAAAGGGATAAAGTTATCCTTGGAGTCTTAGATCCAAAACTCGGAGCCAGTATTGCTGAAGCTCTAAGTATAAAATGTGATCATACTGGTGTTGTTCCAGAAATCGTTAGAGGAATTAGATTTCACTTCCATCATTTGGTAAAAGGTTTTACTGCTAAAAGTTCTGGTATTGCACAACTCGGTCTTGGGCACAGTTATTCTAGAGCTAAAGTTAAGTTTAACGTGCATCGTGTGGATAATATGATCATACAAAGTATAGCTTTGTTAGATCAATTGGATAAAGATATAAACACATTCAGTATGCGTATAAGGTAAAAATCTCAATTGTATAATGTGTATAATTTTTCTAACTGTATAAATAAGGTTTATAACTTACACTAACGTGTATATATGTATATTATTACAGAGAATGGTATAGTTACCATTTTCCAGAACTTGTGAAAATAGTTCCTGAAAATTATTTGTACGCCAAAGTTACACAGTTAATAAAAAATAGGAAAGAATTAACAGAAGAAAAATTACAAGCTCTGGAAGAAGTTGTTATGGATAGCTCTAAAGCTCAAGCAATCATTGATGCTTCCAAGTCGTCTATGGGAATGGACATTAGTCCTGTTGATCTTCTTAACATTGAAATGTTTGCAGGACGTGTAATTGCTTTAGCTGATTATAGAAAGCAATTATCAGAATATTTAAGATCTAAAATGGCTGGGGTTGCACCAAATTTGGCTACATTAATAGGTGACCAAGTAGGTGCCAGATTAATAGCACATGCTGGATCTCTTACAAATTTGGCAAAATATCCTGCCTCTACTGTACAAATACTCGGTGCAGAAAAAGCTTTATTCAGAGCATTAAAAACAAGAGGTAACACTCCGAAGTATGGATTGCTATTTCATTCCACTTTCATTGGTCGTGCAGGTACAAAAAATAAAGGCAGAATTTCAAGATATCTTGCGAACAAATGTTCCATAGCATCAAGGATTGATTGTTTTACTGATACACCGACTAACATATTCGGTGAAAAGCTAAGGCAACAAGTAGAAGATAGGTTGAAATTCTATGAAACTGGTGAAATACCTAAGAAGAACATAGATGTGATGAAAGAAGCATTGGAAGAAGCTGCACAAGTATTAGCAAGCATGGAAACAGAAACACCCAAAAAGAAAAAGAAAAAAGATAAGAAAAGAAAAAGTGAAGTCCTAGAAAATGGTACTCAAAACGGAACAGAAAATGGAGCTGAAAATGGATTCATTGAAAATGGTGCACCAGATGAAACTGAAGAACCAATAAAGAAAAAGAAGAAGAAGAAAAAGACGAAAAATTTAAGTGAAGCTGAATAAAAAGTTATACTTTCGGGTGTCTATACGATTATACTGATATATTGATTGTAATAACTTTATATACTTGTGTAACTTCTATATAAGTTGAAATATTGAGTATACTATTTCCCATATAATTTTTACTGTAATTGTAATTTTGACAGAATTATTGTATAGTTTCTTAATAATTGATAGTACTTGAAAACATTTAATAAAAAAAAAATTGAC